CTGAAGTGAGCCCTGTGGTGCTGGGAACTCGGGAAGGTCCTGTCATTCCTCCTTGGGAAACTCGGCGGGGCAGGACAGCGGGAAGGTGCGCAAGGAAGGGGCCTTTTCCGATGTTTCTGTCCATGTGTGACGGCCTCTGAGCTTCCTGGATGGGGACAGGGTGGCGCCTGGCACCACGGGCAGCAAAGGCAGCTGTGTGGGGCTGCTTCAAGGAGAAGTGTTAAAATCAAAAAATCAGAGAAACAGAAGTGTTTAGCTAGGAGAGCTTCACTAGGCAAAAGTTCAAGCAGATTTTTCTCTTTTTTTTTGAATCTCAAGCTTCCCAACTGGCTGCATTTTGCTATTTTCTATGTCTAAACCAATGGTATGGTAAGCATTGTGCTTCCTAAAGCTGCGCTTTGCAACAGCAAAGCCGATTTTGTTGCAAGCTATTTATCTTGGCGCTCAAAACATTTTATCGAAGGTAAGAAAAGGGAAGTTGCCTTGAGGCTGCGACTCGTCATTCCTTTCAGCGCTTCCTTTTGAACCACCCGTGCACCTTCTGCAACCCTCAACCCTCCCTGTTGGTTGTGATCTTAGCAGAGAAGGTCGCGTCGCACTTCAGATTTGTCTCTTTATCCAATACCAAAGGCTTTTGCCCCGGACGCGGGTGTACGTCACTGGCTGGGGCGATGGTTAGCTCCGCTCTCGCAGGAAGTGGTTTTGCTCTACTCTCTTCTTTTTCCTGCTTTCTGTCTGTTTTTATGAGCTGCAGGAGATTAACCCAAATGCAGCCTTCAGGCATGTGACTTAGATGTTTTCTGTTTTTTTTGAAATAGTTCAGCTCTTGTTGGTCGATGGCAGTTTGAGATGGGAGGACGACCTCTGTGAGCCTGTAGGTAAGGGATCTTCAATTCATCCTAACACCGCTCCTGAAACTTGTATCTCTAAAGATTTTTTAAAATAATTGCAGTTGCTTGTACTTTGTTCAATGCAGATTACAATAGTTGCACAATTGTTTTATTTGTTCTCATTTGCACGTTGCTCAGGGCACAGATGGGAGTTGATGCTTTGAAGGCAAAATTAGTGTTCAAAGTCTAGTGAAACTGTCACATCTCATAGGAGTAACTACAGATGCAGAGATCCTCTGTCTATAGGTACTAGAGATCCTTCCTTCGATCCTATTCCACGTCTCATATCTGTGCCTGTGCTAACTCCTTATCCCAAAGAGGGGAAAAAGGAACCAATGTGTGACCCTTTGCACAGGACAAGATGTTTCTTAGCAAGCATCTTGGCAATTTGGTGCAATTCAGTGCAATTTGGCACTGTTTATTGGCAAGTCTGCATGAGGGTGGCCATCAGGGTGGTGATTGGTGACCGTGGCCACCATGAGGTAGTGGCTGGTGAGATGCGATACTAGGGATCGCTAGAGATTGGAGGGGATCTCTCCATGGCTCCCTAAGCAGGGAGAGGTCCATTTGGTCTGTCTGTAGAGTTGGGATTTGTTGGTAGACCACAACAGCAGTACAAATGTGGGGATCTTCCTTCCCTGCAGCTCCCTCCCTGCTCTGAGACGTGCAGGTCCACGGGGCAGCCTGCACTGCTGGTGGTGGGACGTGTGGGGTTGTGCAAGGAGAGCTCCAGCAATGCTGGAGCAGCTCCACGAGAGCTCCTACCACCATCTCACAGGTCTCCTATGGTTCAGCATCAGGGAAGCTCATGTTCTGGGATCACAAACCTCGGTACCGCTCCATCATCCGCCTGTAAGAGGAACAGCACAGGGAGGTGTAAAGGTGGTTATGGAAAAGATACCCCTTCTTTTTATCTCGTGATGTTGTCAGTGTTGTTCCTCATGGAACTACGCAGTGGAAATGGCCCAGTGACAGCATGTGTCCTTCAAGATGCTCTTGTAGATCAAGTCTAATGCTGCTCCTGCTCTGGAGCTGGCCCAAAATAGGTTGCAGCTCCAGAGGCCCATCAGAGCGGACAGCTCTGCGCCACCAAGGGCTACCTCCTAGTCCTTAAAAACACAATAATTTAGGAGGGCATTCAAACAACGTGGAGTAATGATTTAGTTACAGACAGCATAAAGGAGAGTCAAGATAAGCAAGATTTGTTTTACAGTGGAATTTCTTTTCCTGGTAACATGCTGCTTGCTGCAAATTTCGTGACGTGCTCATGTTGGTAACTGATAGCCTTATCACAAGAAGCAACTTGTTCTTTGGGAAATATGGGTCAGAGTTGAGCGAAATCACAAGTGGCTTGAAGCTTATTTTGAAATTGTGCATAGTAATTGGAGACAGATAAAGCGGTGTTATTTTACAGTAGTGCTGTAAGATTACATTTCAAGTTTTCTGTACTTTTTTTTGGGGGAGGGGGGGAGTGGTCCTGCCTGCATAATACAAATTGGAAAAGAAAGGAAAGTGCTGTAAGATTACATTTCAAGTTTTCTGTACTTTTTTTTGGGGGAGGGGGGGAGTGGTCCTGCCTGCATAATACAAATTGGAACAGACAGGGAAGCTATATATATATATATATATATATATAAAAAATATATAAATATATATATATAAAGTTATCTTCCTGGGCTGTCTTTGTTGTGTTTTTTTTATGCTGTTGCTGCAATGTCTTTGGAGTCATTAGAAATGCATTTTCAACAGAGTTGTGAGATCTGGTAAAGCAGTTTGAATGCTGAGAGTTGTTTTTCTTTATTCTGAGCATTATTTTTCCTTATCCCTTCCCTCTGTGTGCAGAGGCCTGGCTGCAATGCAGCATCTGCCGCTCGCTTCACCTCCCTGCTGCAGCATGTCCCACGCTGCCGCCTTGGTGACGCACGTTTGTTCGCTTTCTTTTCCGAGCAGCCAACAGCCTTTTTGGTAGTTTCTGTATTTTGAAGCTCTGAGTGCTGGGGCGGTCGTAGGTCCGTGCTCCTCAATTCTGTCTGCAGCAGGAGCCAGCCGCCAAATGGTGACAAAGTCACGTTTTGATTTTTACACTGATATTCGGGTGGCACAACAGGAAAACCTCCAGCACGGGGCTGACGCTGCAGTGGCGCCAGCAACTTGTTGGCAGCTCCGCTGCTGATTTCTTTCTTTCTGGTGCCAAAAGTTATTAGTGCTTTTCAGTGGCAGATATTAATGAGACCAGCTTGAGGCCAGGCTCTCAGAAGAAGGATCCGACGCGATAAATTTGGAGCACCCTTCCCCATTGCCGGTGCCTGGTGCAGGGGAGGCCTTTGCTGAGCTGCTCAGAGCTCGTTTCTGTGCTGGGAGCCTGCAGCTTTCAGCAGTGGCAGTTGCTGAGGGCTCATGTTTCTCCTCAGTGAGCTGAGGGCTTCTATGGAGCACCTTTGAGGATGGTGATGTGCAATTCTGATACTTGCTTATTTTTCTTAACTCTTCTCTTCTGCAGTGCCACTCTGCTGTGTCAGCTCAATCAGCATGAGCTGCTAACCATTTAATAGGCAGTTAAAGCCTACCTACTCCTAAAAGCTTCCTCTCTGAGTCAGTCTGCTAATGCAGAGTGAGCTGCTAACCATTTAATAGGTAGTTAAAAAAGCTCCTAAAAGCTCCCTCTCTGAGTCAGTCTGCTAATGCAGAGGAGGAGTCTGGCTGCTGATGCTCACGTGCATTATTGATTAGGGATTGGAAACGGGCAGTTCTGCAGCATGCTGTTAATACTGTAGATGTAGTCTTGTTTGGGCCTGTCTCTTTTGAGGGCAAAAAGAGAGATTTGCTGGAGATCTAGCTAAATAAAGCTATTTATGGTTCACTTCTGCCCTGTCTGCCACCTGGATGCACGAGAGCTCCCGCTCCATGCTGCACAGACAGCAGCTGGCACTGGTGGACACTGTTGGTTCGAAGAGGCTCTGATTGCTGTGATGGTTTCATGTGTTGCTGGCATTAGCCCGGGAGCAGGGAGATAAAACTGGCCCAGCTTTTGCTGCATACAATAATTCAAGCATAGCGTCCTTTACCTGATTGCACAACTTGCACAAACGTGTCTACTTTTTCCCGTCTGGTGGTGGCTTGTGACAGCTTTTGTCATCAGGAAGTAATTGCTGCCACATCCCCGCGCTACCTTTGGCATGTCCATGATGACAGCCTGGCTTGTTGGCCGTGCAGCTGGGAGCCTGCTAGCCTGCCCCAGGAGCGCTACCTGGAACCTCTTTGCAAGCTGGGCTGCTTGTACCTGGGGTCACAATGAAACTTGCTTCTGTAGCCACCCAGTTATCAACACGTTAAAGACCCAGCTGGTTGCTCTTTTGCACTATCGGATATTAAGTTTTGTGATTTCATGCCCTTGAAATTTCTCTGTCGGTCCTCCCTGGTTGGAGAAATACTATAAAAAGTTTGTTTTGGAGACTCACTGCAAAATAAACTCTGCTAACTTCTCATTTGCACTGGGACTTCCTCAGGGCAAATCTGTTTTCATTTTGAGAGTGAGGCCTCTTACAGAGGTCAGCTTACTCTAAGAACTTTTATTACAATTTAAGGTACCTCGAGGTTGGTTGGAATAGGAACAAGGGAAATGTTTTTAGAGTGCTGTCCAAATGGGAAAGGGAGACATTAATTTTGGAAGCATGGATATTTACCAGCTTTAAATTAAGTAGAGGCCACAATGACAACTTACCTGGTTCATGCTCTGCGTTGCTTGTAAGTGTTGGAGACCTAAAATTTGTGAAAAATGAGTCCTCTTTGTCAGAAGCTAACAATCCAAAATTCATATATGCCTGAAAATTTATGCATTTCTATGTTTGTTTCTCTCTATTTGCATATGTACTTAGCATGAGAAAGAACTGCCTTGGAAATGGGTTAGAAAAGAGTTTGAAGGATCATTTAACAGATTTTTATATTCTTCAAATTATTTTCTAAGCTTATAGCATAAGTTTCTAACTTTGCATAGCAAAAAAGAATTTCAGCAGCACAGAGTTCCCTACTGAAAAGTTTTGTTAATAAATTAACTAGGTAAGTTGGAATTTTGGCATTTCTATGGTTTGTGGTTAAAAGGTTGCTAAAGACACGGGCACATTTCCTGCCGTTTGAGATTGACGGGGTTAAATCATTGGCTTGCAGCTAAGTTGGGTGTTTTGGGTTGCACTGTGGCCGGTCACCAACGTGTCTTCCAAGCCCGTGTCGGTCATGCCGAGCAGGCGCAGTCCTCCGATGAGTCGTCCTACAGCCTCTTCCAAGTCCACCTCCAAAGCGTGTGTTAGTTTGCAATGTTTTTAGAGAGGAAGGGAAGAAAATGAGGAAGAAAACTGAGTGAATCTGAAAGCTGAAGCTTCAAGCAAACTCTCGCTTTTTGTTTGAGTCCTTTTCCTGCCGCACCCTGGGCAAAGCCACCGCTGCGCTGGGGCCGAATCGGATACACCGAGGCTGAGCCCCACGGCAGGTTTCTGCTCAGCACCTGGGCTCGTTTGCCTGCTGCTCAGGATGTGACCCAACTCTTCCTGTGCAGGCAAGGAGGGAAATGACCCACGTGTTTTGCAAGGAGAATTGTAGCCCTGGAGCTTCGGCCTCCAGGATTGCGCGTCCAGGCCTGGGGGTGCACGAGGTGCTGCTGGTGGCCCCACACGCCCATCCAGGCCACTCTGGGCATCTCCATCAGCCCTGTGGTTGCCCTGTGGTCCTCAATCCTGCGGCAGGAGGGAGGCTCTGGAGGAGCCAGGAGTCCGGGATGGATGGAGGCACAGATGGATGGAGACTAGAGCTTGCCTTGAATCCACATTTTCCAGCAGGACGAGGTTACATCAGACTTTCCAACTCCCTGGGCTGCTCTTGCTTGTGTTACCTTTCTGAGTTGGGGTCAAGTACTTTTGGGGCCTGAATTAGAAACTTCAGTGTTTCCTATGTCTCCAGGATGCTGGTGGTTGCTTTATTAGGTTTATTAGGTTACT